CACCCCCATTAATATTAAAGCTATCAGCCTAATTTTTTTTCAAGCTAGCCAAGAAAAATTTGGCTATGAACATGCAATTCAAAACTAAGGGGGTGAAGGGGTTTTTAGATTTGTGATTGAAATAGAAAATTAATATTTATCAGAAGTTTTATATCCTTAAGCTCAATAAACCATAGAACGTATTTGTGATGTTGAAGAAATTAACTTTTGGGTTAAAAGATAGAACGTTACAAAGTAACCTTTGTTTTGAATTAATATTTCTATTTCCCCAAATCTGGCATAAATCTCTCATTTAAAAACTGACATGTTTGATTCTCAATAATTAGTTTTAGTGTAAAATTGGGGGCAATTTATTAATTAACTTATTAATAAGGTAATTAATCAATAATTGTTTAGGTCCATTGATTACAGTGGCACATGCTCAGGGCAAGCTCAGCCAAATGGTAAGAGCATTTTTAATTTCTTTTAATTAATTTTGGTGGAATTTATCACACCTAATATTTCCCGTTGTAGGGTGATTTATCGCCCTACAAGAGCATTTTTAATCTCTGTATTGTATCCAAGAGCAAGTATCATCAATACTCAATTTGTTTTTTTTAATGTTTGGAGAGGTAGCTAAACTACCTACTACCGGTTCAAATCCTGAATCACCAATTCTAATTATCATGACTCTTTAACTTTGAACCAGTTTTCAGGATTTGAATGGGAAATAGGTAACTTGTTCATTCCTTCCTGAACTGTTACGGGTTGCTTTAAATTGAGTTGTATTTAAACATTTAAACATGTCTTGGTTTGACAGTTAAAGTTTAGTCTGGATGTATATATAGAAAGAAAATCCTGGGGATAAATAAATTTAAACAAATTCAACATTTTATTTTGAATTTAGAAGGCACTTTAGTCTATATTGACCTTAGAAGAGATGATTTACCCATCTTAAAACGGGCTATACCTATAGTTGGACAACATCTTTATACCTATAGTTGGACAACATCTTTATACCTATAGTTGGACAACATCTTTATACCTATAGTTGGACAACATCTTTATACCTATAGTTGGACATCATCTTTATACCTATAGTTGGACAACATCTTTATACCTATAGTTGGACATCATCTTTATACCTATAGTTGGACAACATCTTTATACCTATAGTTGGACATCATCTTTATACCTATAGTTGGACAACATCTTTATACCTATAGTTGGACAACATCTTTATACCTATAGTTGGACAACATCTTTATACCTATAGTTGGACAACATNTTTTTTTTTAAAAATAATTTTATTTTATCTATAGGGTAGGGAACAGGGCGGAAAAAAAAGTCTGGTCTGTAAAAAGAAATCTAAAATAGCCTATAACTTGTTTGTGACTAAAGCTACAGATCTAAAAATTATATTTTTTAAAAACCCTTGAAAAATGCATGTATAAACATATGCCACACTTTGATATTTGTTTAAAAATATTTATTTCAGTTTTTCTTATCCTTTTTAAGGCATTTTTTCCGCCCTCCCTTCTATAGCACCCAAAATATTAAAGCTATCAGCCTAATTTTTTTTCAAGCTAGCCAAGAAAAATTTGGCTATGAACATGCAATTCAAAACTAAACCTATTCTCTTAGGCCTTTTTCTAGAGGGGGGGGCGCCAAACGCCCCCCACGGGTATACATAGATACAGCCTTGATAGGGTTAAAAGGATCAATCTAGGCATGTTGCAACTAGCTGCAGCTGATAACATGAAGAATTATAATGTTAAAATAATGATTAAGAATAAAGGAACTGAGTATTTTGCCAAACACTCAAATTTTCTTATCCCTATATCTCTGCAACCTGATGGTTAGAATACTTGATTCATATTTTAAATATGTAAGGTCTAAGACATTGGATTGCAAAGATCTAGGAGTTAGAAAAATTCTCAACAACAGAGAATGAAAAGTTTCCTGGAGTAACTACAATGCATATATTTAAAACTCGGTGTTGATGATCCTTCATATCTATAAATATACAAGTTGTAATTTCTGTTTGTCTGTTAGTTTGTCCGATCATAACTCAGAAACCCTTTGACTGAATTGCCATAAATTCCGATTGGGGAACTCGGGACACCCAGGGGAATGTTCTTAGCTTTTTTTTGTGATTCAAAGTTGAGAGTGTCTACTTTAATAGCGAAAATTTAGTTTTCCAGTGAATATCGTCTAAGTGCAGGTAAACGGCAGGAATAACTATAAGTACCCTGTGAAACGCTGGGTTCCCAAGCTAGTCCAGTAATAAAGTAGGTGTTAATTACACTTTTTTAAAATATATTTTGGCCAGGGTTGACACTCTTCAGTTCGAACGAAATAAAAGCTCTCTAAATCAATAATACAATTTTTTTAAATCAATAGAATTAAACAAAACAGAAAAGCGTCTCATTAAAAAAGGGTTGTGAAATGAATAAAAGGAAAAAACTCAGATCATAATATCTTAAAAGAACGCTAAAAGAAATTATTATTCTTTAGGATTTGTTCTGTCATGATGATTCAAGACAAGCTGTTTAAATGAATGACTGGAAAATGGGTTGGGAAACTAAACATATATTCTTTTTCACCTTTTACCAATTTCCTTATGATGTTCTCTATTAAGTCTCTTTTTAGTATCCTTTTATTAGAAATTATTCAATATTTATATTTATTTCTTCATTTTTATTTTCTAAATTAATTGTTTAGTATAATTGACGCATAATTATTTGTTGCTCTCTGTTCTAAATATGATCAAGGAGTTTTAAAAACTAAAAAATGCGCTAAATTTCTAAAGGAAAAACCGGAAAGCGAACCTTTACGGAAACATAATTTAAGAATTCGACTATAGATGTCTCCACTTTTAACACTTTTTTGTACATCATCAATCTCAAATTATTAAAACTGTAATATAAATTTAAATATTAATAATTACAAATTTACTGTAAAGATTTAACATGGTTTGAATCTTGAAAAAAGTATAATTTTCTTGTTTTTCTTCACATATTTTTCATGTTGCTTTAAGTATTAAGTTTGATACTTCATGTTAGTCAGGATGAACTTTATCCAGGATTTGCTCCGCACTTCTTTTAATTTTTGATGGCTTAGATATCATGGCCTATAATATAGAAATAGTTAATTTAGAGTTAAATCTGGAAACTGAACAGAATCATCAAAACTTGTTTTTTATAACCTACAAAATATTAGATCATAAACCTCGATGTTGTTAACTTTTGAATGATATTACAAACTCAGATTATTCGATCTAACAGAATTCATAGTTTGAAATATCTAAGGTCTGCATCATTTGGTTCCAAAGCTATAGTGATCAGAGTTTGTGGCAAAGACTCAAATCCTTTAGTCTTAGCCTTTTAACACAGAGTTGCTTGTAGTAAAGAACATTTCTTGGTAATGGAAATGAGGTTTTGACACAAACTCTAACTGTTTCCCCCCTATATTTTAGCAACCCAATGTTGTAGACCTTTTATATTTTAAACTATGAATTCTGCTAGATCAAATAGTCTAAGTTTGAAATATCGAAGGTTTACGCTTTCTGGCTGCAAAAACTGAATTCCTTTGTATTTCTTCTACTTTTTGCTTGCTTCATGGTTATAATGCTGCAGATACGAAAAATGTGTGTAAGATGCATTATTACATATATATATATATATAACAGAGTTTATCAAAATTGATGTTTTCTCCAATATCTGTTTCACATTTTATAAAGACTGTAATATTCTTGAAAGGTCTCATTCATAGAGAAAGGTTTGTCATCTTTAAGAAAGAAAACTTGTCATCGAAAGACACTCCATTAATAGAGTGACATGGCATTGTCAGATTAGCATGGATACCCTTAAAAACTTTGTCTGATTTAGCATGGATTAAATATCCTTGTTTAAGTTTTGAAAACTGATTATTTTTATCTGTGGTTTCTCTTCAAACATAACTAGTTAATTTCTTGCTTCAGAAACAATAAAGAAATTTACAGAATTAAACTCTGTTAAGGATAGAAAACCATGCTATAATATAATCTACATTATTGGTCAAGATTAATTGGTGTCAAAGGTACTGTTGTGAATTTAACATGTTCCTCTTATTGAATTGAGGGTTACTAAATACTAACGACATTCTTTCTTTCTTTCTTTATAAATTACTAGCTGTGTGTTTATAAACCAAGATAATATATAGAGTACATTGAAATAGCTAGGTAATAATATTTTATGCACATCTTTACTTTCTTTATATATTACTAGCTGTGTGTTTATAAACCAAGATAATATATAGAGTACATTGAAATAGCTAGGTAATAACATTTTAATACTTTCTTTATATATTACTAGCTGTGTGTTTATAAACCAAGATAGCTAGGTAATAAGTAACTGTGAAGAGGAAATAGAGTTTGCTAACATTTTATGTAACACTAGCTGGAGTGTGCAGTGTTGCCCAGATGAATAGTATTTTCATCATCATAGCTAATCCCGCCGTTTACCCGAGCTTCGTATCAAATCATGCGACTGAATCAAGGATGAAGGGTGTCCTAGTTTTTTCATTTTTTTAAGCATCTAATCTAATCAGTACATGCAGGGTTCTGTCACATGAACGATATGGATTCAGAACCAATAGAAATTGCATAGGCAATAATATCTATCTAATTATCTATCTCATGATCCATTTAGAGATGAATCCTAAAATCAGTGCCAAACAGTAAATGGAAATGTGTACTTCTAATGTAACAAGCTTGTCCTTGGTTTGACCTTTACCAGGCACTCTTTATACTTTTTTGTGGTCATAGAAAAAAATATATTAAAGATTTAAAGGACTACTGTCTACCTTCAGATTGGAAATGTATTTGCCAAAACTGTAATAAAAAGAAGTAAAAACTGAAAACTTGTTCAGGAGAAGGAGAAAAATCCCCATTTCTTGGAGAACCAAGATCAAGCTTACCCTTGGGGAAACCTGGTTCCCTGGTGGAGGGAAATAAACCTCCTCCTGCACAGAATGAGGTTAGTCCACTGGAAATACAGAGCTTGATTAGTTTTTTCACCAAAATATAAAAGAATCATGTCAACAATATTTATTGAAATGTATTCAATTGAATATAACTTTTTATCTTTGTTATTTTAAAAAGTGTTTTGTGAACTCTTTTTTTAAAATGAAGCCACATAGGTTTTTTTTTTTTATTTTTATTCAACTACAAAGCAAGAGATAATACAAATAAAAAANTGGGCTAGTGTGCATTATTAGACCAGTCACTCCTTTTATTGGTTCTGATCATGGAACAATCGGGCAAATGATAAATGATGATTGACATGGTGCCATCTTAGTGCCTATCAATGCAGTACCACTTTACCAAAGCCAGGTGGCCAAAGCTAATCATTCTTTTCTTTGGAATTCATTAATGTCACATGTCATAACATTGCCAAGATAGTTAATATGGTATCACAAAAAGACACACAAACAAATGAAAATTCGATACAGTACAAGGAAGATCTGTCCAGACTTGACGTCACTGATTAATACTATTGGTGGAGAAATCCCACTCCTGAAAGAAATGCAAATCACAATGATGGGTATACTCGCCTACAACAGACCTTAACTCAAGACAATTCCAGGACCCATGTTCTATCCTCTATGTCCTGTAGAGTTATGACGTAGGCAACATACAGAAACTAGAATAACTGGAATTGTATGACTACCTTGCTCTATTTCAGGACCCATGAACAGTACCATTCAAAGCTTTGACTGATCAAGGATGACAGACTTAACCTAACATATACTTGAAATTGGTGATTACCAAAAGTGATCGTTTCGTTTTCAGATTATTTTTCATCATAAACTAAAAAAAGGAATGTCAAAACTGCCAATCCCTAGTCATAACAGTGCCATTCAAACCTTTGAATGATCAGGGATGACATACTTAACCTAACCTGATGATTACTTTGTCGGCAAGCTGATTTATGTTTTAAAAATTGAAATTTTTACTTTTTCAAAATCAAAGATAAAAAATATATACAGCAACTTCCCAAATGTACATTTAAGATAAGGTTAGCCTTTTAAGGCTCAGTGCCTCTGGCTGCAATGGTGGAGGAGCCCTGTGGCAAATATATGGGCAAGGGGTCGAGTGCTGGGATGTTGCCATTTGGGAAATTGCCCTTTGAAAGGCAGCTTACTGTCTTATTTACAGGGTCGGCTTGAGCTGCCTGTAGAGGACAGATTGAAGACGGTTAGTCTGGAGCGGATGGATAGATTACACTTAGAAATGAACCCACCAAGGGACAGGTAAAATTGCATTAAGATAAAATAATAAATTTAATAATAAATTTACTATCCATCTGTAAACATTCATTTAACCTCATATTTAAAGAGTGTTATGGCTGATTCAAAACATGACCCTAAAAGCCTTAATTTAAGTAATAATTTGACTAATATCCTTGCATTTCTAGCTTTTTTATAGCTTGATCCATGTTTAATTCCACGATTTTTAGCTTTTAAGGGTACTGTTGTGAAACAGACATGACATTCCCTTTATATCTAGGTGGAACCTGCTGTATCTAACTGTAGTTCTTCATGGTATTGGTACTCTGATTCCCTGGAATATATTCATCAATGCTAAAACAGTAAGCAACAGTGAAATAACCGCAAAAATTTGCATTTATACTTCTCAAGAGACTGGAACTTTTGAATCAGAACATTTAGATTGCTAATTCCTTGAGAAAAAAACACTATCTTGTATAGTCTGACAGATAAAGTTATTTAGTTTGAATATCATTTGCTAAAATAGAGCTTTTTTAAAAGTTTGTGAAAGCTTATTTTATGCTTGTTTTTTAATCCATTTTCAATAGAAATTTTTAGCAAAAATTAGGCGCCGCTCAAATTTTAAGTGTATTAAGTTTAAGTATAGACTAAGTTTGTTCTCTTTACGCAAGCATTTTATTCATATGGTAAAAAATTTAAGTTTGGAAAAATAAAAAAAGCAAACTGAGTAAAATAGAAAAGTTTAATGTTCTGATTCTTCTTATGTTTGTGCAGAAATTTTGCTTCATAGAAAAGAAAAAAAAAGAGCATAACATTTTTAAATAAAAAAAACTTTTCATGACTTTTACGAAATTTGTGTTCTTTTTTTTATAAAAAGGTAGTTTATGGGTTACCACAACAAACAGCATAAAAATTATTTTTAATTTAAATTATCAGAATTTTGTGTTAAAATAACATTAAGGACATTAGAGGAAAAAAGTTATTTTGTATTAAAGGAGTCAAGTGTAAGCATAATTTCAAATGGCCCATCATGCAAAGTTGCTCAAATCCAATTTACAACAGTATAAAATTTAAAATTATTGATATATTATCTTTATTTGTTCAGACAAAGCTTTTAACAGAACAGTACTTAAATACTAAATATGCTATTATACTAATTAGATAGATAGATTTATAGCAACAAATCTTTTAAAACTGTTATTTAAACTTGTAAATAGTTATAGCAAAATTTAAAATAGTTAAAACATATTTATTGTTTTATTTTAGCACAAACAAAACCGTGGTGACTGGGTTTTTCTACTTCAAGATGTAAGTAATAGGATTTGAAATAGTTAGTTGTGTCTGGTTTGAAATGCACAATGTGAATTGCACATTATACATTGCACAATGTACATTGCACATTGTACATTTCACAATGTATCATTTACTCTCAGAAAAATTAGAACCAATGGAAATTTGAACCCCTGAGCAATTTAATTATAAACCGTAGGGCGTACATAGATTTCACAATTTGCACACTGTGCTATGTACATTATACATGTTGATTTTATACTGCAGAAAAGCATATTTTTTTTCAATCAAGTCTTAGATTTGAATAGTATTATAGATTATTGCATAAATTATGATGATATTCATCAATATCATTTGAGGGGTGCATATTTTCTTTTCGAATCACCCCATATTTTTTCTTGATAGTGATGTTTTCCAATTAAGCATACTCCAGTTAAAAATCGCAAACTTTTAGGTGTATTTTCACAGCCCCTATTAATGATGTTTAAGTTTCATAATCTGAAAAAACTGTTGCTAATTTTAGATTCTTAAACATGTTTCTTTAATACCGCCTAGGATCAAGAAACAAATTTTTTGCATTTAACTCCTAAATTAGATTAATATTCTATCAATATTGTTTAAGGGGTACATATTTTCTTTATAAATTACCCCATCCTCTCTTGACACTTCTTACTTTTTTCCAGAATTTAAAAAAAATTGCATTTTTTTATTTTGATACTAGGTCTCTTTTTCCATCTTAGATCAAAGGAAATTATTTTATTTTTCTCCTTAATTATGAAAATATCTTTTCCATTTAAGGGGTCAACATCTTCTTCTGAAATCACCCAACATCCTTTCTTATACTGATTACTTAATTTGCAACTTTAAATTCTTGAAAATAAGAATAATTTTTATGGAGACGAGGGGGGGGATATATCTTGTTATAATACACTCTTGTAAGAGGCTATGGATTGGTATATAGCAGCTAAATGATTTATTACCCTCCCGGAAGAAAAGCTTAACGCAATAATGTTGTATGAACGTTAAGCACAATATTAGCATTAGGGGAACAAAAAGTTACAACAAGGGGCAGAAAAGGGGGAACGGAGGCTGGGAGGTATAGTTCAATTCAACAATCTTAGAAATTCAAATTATGTAAGCATTAATAGGATAGTAAATCTTTGGCTGGTACTTCATTGAATAATAAGTTTTTTTTATATAGTTATTGGTACATTGATGAAAACATTTCTGAATTTTTTTTTAGTGTCTTTTTTATTTTTCTACTTAAAGAAAAACAGATAAAGATGATATAGAATACAGATCACTAGGCCCTAATATCTAAGTTTAAAAAATTGTACTGCAGATTTTTTTATTTACATTCCAGCCAAAAACTTAAATTACATTTTTTTAATCAAAGAAAGGCTGGGTCAAAAAAAAACAATAAAGTTCAAGATCTAATATAATTCTATTATGGCATGACCTCCTTTCTGAAGGCATGTCCAGTCTCTTAAACTATTGTAAAATCCCTGAATATTTCAGTACTTTGTGAACTACAAGCTTGGTGTGGAGTACAATCAAGATACAGCCTACACATCATACTTCCTACAGTATATTGCTCTAGGGATTATTTCAGTTTAACAAATATTGAAAAGTTAATGTACATTTGTAATATACACTTCTAATGTGCATCACCTGTGTTTCAACTCTTTGGCAGCCTCTAATCCAATCAGGGTTTACTGACACGCTTGGTGTGTCTGGTACAGTCTTATCCAATCAGTGTTCACTGATGTGCTTGGTGTGTCTGGTAGCGTCTAATCCAATCAGTGTTCACTGACAAGCTTGGTGTGTCTGGTATTGTCTTATCCAATCAGTGTTCACTGACGTGCTTGGTGTGTCTGGTATTGTCTTATCCAATCAGTGTTCACTGACCTGCTTGGTGTGTCTGGTAGCGTCTTATCCAATCAATGTTCACTGACATGCTAGGTGTGTCTGGTAGCGTCTAATCCAATCAAGGTTCACTGACCTTCTTGGTGTGTCTGGTATTGTCTGATCAAATCAGGGTTTACTGACTCCCTTGGTGTGTCTGGTAGTGTCTTATCATAGTTCACTGACACGCTTGGTGTGTCTGGTAGCGTCTAATCAGGGTTCACTGACACACTTGGTGTGTCTGGTAGCGTCAAATCAAATCAGGGTTTACTGAAGCACTTGGTGTGTCTGGTAGCGTCTTATCCAATCAATGTTCACTGACATGCTAGGTGTGTCTGGTAGCGTTTAGTCCAATGAAGGTTCACTGACCTTCTTGGTGTGTCTGGTATTGTCTGATCAAATCAGGGTTTACTGACTCCCTTGGTGTGTCTAGTAGTGTCTAATCCAATTAGTGTTCACTGACCTGCTTGGTGTTTTGTAGTGTCTAATCAAATCAAGGTTCACTGACATGCTTGGTGTGTCTGGTAGCGTCTAATCAAATCAAGGTTCACTGACATGCTTGGTGTGTCTGGTATAGCATCTAATCAAATCAAGAATCACTGACATGCTTGGTGTGTCTGGTAATTACACTAATCCAATCAGGATTCACTGATGTGCTTGTTGACTATTCTGAATTAAAAGAGATTGTAACAGCTGTAGGGTCCATCTATTTATATATTTAAATCTCACAATCCAATAGAAATTGACATGTAAATTCTTTACTTTCTCTAAAAATAGTTGACAGGGTGATTGGAACAGAATAGGGTTATTAAGGATTATAGTTTTAAAGATGACTTTAAGGAGTTTTATCCATCCTTTTTATTCCATTTATAGTTCCCTACAGCTGTAAATACTATTTTCACTTTAAATAGGTAACTCGATCCTCTCTTTTAGGTTTTTATTTCCTTTATTTTGTTATATTCAAAAAGTTTTAGATCGTTATTTATGTCTTTTTTCTTGTGGATTAAGAGCTGAGTTTACTTAAAATTATCTGATGGATGGTGGGGGTAGGAGCAGGGGGAGGGGTTTAGTTATTTCTGGTATTTTACTAAAATGGGGTTCACTTAGATCAAAAGAGCAAACTAAAGATTAAAGTCAATATATTGGAAATACAATGAGACTTATAAAACTGTGGAATAGGAAGATAACCCCACCAACAAAGGATGAGACTATACATAAATGATGGTTATGTGAAAATGTTTTAAGGTTTCCTGCAGATATTTATTTTATCATTCAAAACATATCAAGAAAAAATGTTGGCTCCAAAATTAAAGAGTTTAGTTTGTTATTAAATTTTTATTCTTCGTTAGTAGCCCGTTTCTTTATATCTCTCATAGTCATACCCGACAAACCAAATTTCATTTCTAGAATGTTACAGAAACGTTATGTAAGGTAACGGTACGTTATGGTTTCGTTTTCCTGATACGTAAATGCTATGTAAAACGAACCACTTTTTAAGTTACTGAAACGTTTCCCAGTTTAGTTTCCTAGAAACGTTTTAAGATCGTAAAATATTCGAACTATTAACGTTTTAGTTACGTAAAGCATTAACCCTATTCCTGCTGGGGGGGGTCAAATTGACCCCCCCCTGTAGTTTTTTTTACATAACTCAAAAAGTATTGGTCTGAGGCTGTTGAAATTTTCTGACTTTTCCTACAGACCCAAAACCCTCCCTTTAGGCCTAAAACTGGGCTTTAATACATTAATAAAAAACCTTTCAAATTTTGTTTAAAAATGTTCAAATGCAAAAATAAATCTGAAGAAAAAAATCTGATATACATATATACTTAGTACTTACCTTAATATTCTATATAGAACACTAAATATATCTTACAAATATAGAGAACACTATATCCTTATCCTAAATCTATAGAGAACAGTATATACTTACCATGCCTTTGTTGCTCATATTTAAGAGAACACATACATACAGTGTAATGTTATGTTATGTACTGTAGAAAAGAATAAGATTAAAAATATACAGTAAATAAAAAATCATTGAAAATACTCCACTATTAAAAACATCCAGTATCATGGATAACTATCATTTCATATTAAAGGAATTGAGTCTTTGCCACAAACTCTAATTTTCTAATCACTATATCATTGGAACCAAATGTTGTAGACCTTAGATATTTTCAAACTATGAATTCTTTTAAATCAAATAATCTGAGTTTGAAATATCAAAGGTTTACAAGATCGGGTTCAAAAATAAACAGCAAATATAAAAAAAATCACAAAATACTAATACTAAACATTCAAAACTAAACAAACAGATTAAAGTCTGAACTAAACAAACTGAATAAAGTCTAAACTAAACAAACAGATTAAAGTCCAAACTAAACAAACAGATTAAAGTCTGAACTAAACAAACAGAATAAAGTCTGAACTATGACAAACAGATTAAAGTCCAAACTATTTTTTAATGATGTATAAAAGATAATATTCACAGTTATTGAGGAAAAGGATAAAAATATAAACAGTAAATATAAAAAAATCCGTAAATACTAATACCAAACATATTTTAACATAAACATGGGTAAATACTCACATAGAGAAAACAAAAGGTTAAAAATCTTTCATAAACTGAATTAACGTAGCTGCTCATCTCCCCAATCTTATCTTCAACTGGCTCAATGTATTCTTTCATTTCGGGTAAGTTTTTCAAAAAGTTTTCTTCCAACTTTTTGAAAAAGTCCTTTTAATTAAACAAGGCGACACAAAATTTGCTTAGATGGAAAGTTTAAATGAAAGTTGAAATTCGAAATAAATTTTCTGTTAGTTAGAAAATGTCCAGCAAAGATTTGTCTGCAGATTTAATGTTGGAAAAGGAGACCAGATAATGGCTGAATTTCTATCAATGGTTGATTATTAACTATGGTTGATTGCTAACAATTGTTGACTGTTGATGATAATTCGTTTACACTAAAATCGTATTAGATAGTTTCAACTGTGTGTGTGTGTGTGTGTGAGGGGGGGGCGAGGGGAGTTTAAAATATTAAATTTTTACGTCAACTGAACTTTGAATTGAGATTTCGGTTATTTAGCGGAAATGAAATGATGAAGCCCAGGTATTGGAAAACTACATGTTCAACCTCAGATCTACACAAAATTCATTTTAGTAGAAATTCTATTTAAAGTCTAAGATATTGATAAAAAATATTGAATTTTAGAATATTTCTTTAAATATTTGGAAAACGTTTGAGATGATACAAAATATAAATATTTAGATATTTGGGTACTTGGATATTTAGATATATTAGAATTTTTGTATTTAGATATTTAAAATATATAAACTAAATAACCTATCCGTCTCGCAGTCGCAGACAAGGCTGCAACTGAAATATTTGATATGTGTGAATATATATATTTAAATGTTTAAATATTTAGAGATTTGTATATTTTCATATTTAGATATTTGGATTTTTAAATATTTAGATATTTAGATATTTGGATATTTAGACCTTTGGGTATATCGATATCTAGAAATTTCAATTTTTAAATATATAGATATTTGGATATTTGGATAGTTGAATATATAAATATCTAGATAAGTGAATATGTTGATATTCGGAACTTTTTCAATTTAAACTAGAGGATAGAGGTTTGGCTACAGCTGTGAAAGCTTAGTGTCCAAGATGATGCATTTCTGCCTTTTAAACTTAATTTGCAGGGTGGGGGGGGGATGATGTATACATAATCTTAGTTCATGGGGTCCATAAATTGTATTTCTTGAATAGAGGAACATAATATATTTTAAGGATATCTGTAGAAAATAGTGAATTTCAATAAAAAAAGGTTTCACATTCAGATTTAAGGCATGGTTCAAATCATAGATTAATAACAATACAGATAGAACACTAGATTTCGTATTTTAAAGATTTGGTTATGTCTTGTAATTCAATGCGGCTTGCGCGTAATTCATGTGTTTATCTATATTTTTATTAATCTATGGTTCAAGGGCGGGAACCTCCCGCACACCATGAGCCTCTGCTATGCAGGCACAAGCCTCCAAGATTTGTTAGGCAGACTGAGCCTCCGCCATGCACTAAGAGCATAAAAAGTTTATCAAAGATCAGAAGTATTAATCAATTATTATAAACAGTGACTAACTATGACTAGTAAAGTAGTTTTAAAAAATTGAAACATTTTTTACGCAAAGAGGAAAATATTTAGAGAAAATTCTCAGAGTAATTTTATTTGATATTTTATAATCTTTGCTTTAAGTGATAACTTTTTTTTAAACTTTTAATAGATTACGATAATCAAAAATTGGACATTGACAAATAATCTGAAACTAAACATTAATCTATCTATCATTAATCTATAAGTAAGATTCTTGTGCCACTATGATGAAAACAATCTAAAAAGTTATACATTACATTAAAAAACCAAGAGTTATAAGAGTAAAGTGGAGGCTCATTTACTGCATAACTGAGGCGCTTACTGCATGGTGGAGGCTCGGTCTGCCAAGCAAATCTGGGAGGCTTGTGCCTGCATGGCGTAGGCTCATGGCGTCTGGGCCAGGTTCCCACCCTCATAGTTGAATTGGAAACATTTCTTGAACAAGCCAAAGATATATCGATGAAGAAATTGTGAATAAAATGAACAAGATGGACCGTAAAATGAACAAGATGGGCAGTAAATTGAACAAGCTGGACCGTAAAATGAACAAGATGGACTGTAAAATGAACAAGATGAACAGTAAAATGAACTCAAATCTTCTATTACCCTATTCTACAATATTAAGCAGACAATGCTATAAACTCTTCAATTGTGGATATCACGATCAATGCTTGACAATTTGTTAATCTTCAGATTAATTTAATCTTTATTTTATATACACACTGTAATTTTACCCTGAAGGGATAACTGAAATGAAGAGCATTGAACGTATATCTCAATATCTACTGTGGATAATTTTAATGTGTGTATCTGTATAAGACACTATACAATTCCTCCCCCCGGCCGAAGGTCACTTCAACCTCTAACTGGGTACAATTATCATAGGGAACAGTACAAGAGTTCCCAGCTCAGATCATTTTGAATTTTTTTTTTGAATAAATTTTATTGTTGTAGTGGATGTATAACCCCACGAATAGTCTGGTCTCTCCTTACTGAGATCCTCGTCATGATTGTGACCATTGTCCTGGCAATGCTGGACACTACCCAGTACCCCGACACATTCTTCTATATCAGGTAGATTCTAGTGAAGATAATCTATAATCTATAAATATATATACAGGGATGGATCATTTTTGCTTTTAGAAAAATGATCATTTTGTTTTGAAAACGACAAAGAAAAAACGAAATACAAAACGATCATTTTTATAAACAATAGTTTTTTTCTTTAAAATCAAAAAAGATAGTTTTTAAAAAATCTATTGTTATCAAAGACAATCATTTTCGTTTTTTTAAAATGGTTGTTTTTAAAAACGATCATTTTTAATAATGATCTTTTTGATAACGACTCATCGTTTCCAACCGATAATGACAAACCTTCCTTAAAGACCATTAACGACCTTTAAAAGAGAAAATACATTTGTTGGTCGGAAAATCTAAAGTCAGTAAATATTCAGGTTATTTGTTCCGATAACAAAACATATAAGACAACATTCATAACCTTATCTTTCTAAAAAAATTGAAATTAATTGACTTAAAACTCATGATTCATTAACAAATTTTTGTTGTACGATCATTTTCAAAAACAATTATTTTTCGTTTTTTAAAGAAATCTATCTTTTTTAAAAAACAATTGTTTTCAAAACGATAGTTTCCGATTTTTGAAAATTCAAAATAAGTGGTTTATTTTCAAAAATGATAGTTTTTTTTCAAAAACGAAACAATCATCCTTCACAAAAATTTAAAAAAAAAAACTATTGTTTTTTTTGATCGTTTTAAAAACAAATAACAACCCTTTATAAAGATACACATTACTTGTCTGTAGAGATCATATAGTAGAGATTCATGCAAGAGTTAAAGGTATTCATGTACAATATTTAAGTTTAAACTACGTAATTTGGTTAATAGGAAAATTATTCTGGTTGAGGTTAAAGTTATTCTAGCAGACGTTGAAGATATTCAAGTTTCAAGCTTTAAGATATAAGGGATTCTGATAAGTATCAAAGGGTTCTAGATTGGGTTGTGCAGCCTTATACAAACGTATGCGAATGTTGTGCTATGAGTCTATGGACTTTGCATCTATGCTATGCATGCATCCTATGTTATACATAAACATATAAAGCTCATGAATATAAGACATTAATGATATGAATATGTATTTAAAACTATGCAACTATGCATGCCTATTCATTTAAAGAAGGGTATTATTATTCCTATGGTCGCATATTAGACCTCTAATGTAAAGGTATACTAGTAGAGTTTATAAGTATTCTAGTAGGGTTTGGATAGGAGGTTTGTTAGGGGTTTAAGGTATTCTAGTAGGGTTCTGAGTTCTGTTAGACGTAAAAGGAGTTTTGGTGGATGAAATTCTTGTAAGGTTTAAAGGAGTTATTGTAGTTTACAAAATGTGTTCTGGAAGGATTTTTTTGATTATTTGGAAGTAAAAGAAAATATGCATAAGCCCTTTGAATTGACTTGTTATATATTATGCTATCTTGTTAGCAGTATAATTTCCATTCTAAACTCTATGTTGTAACTATTTCAAAGCTGTTGAAGTGTTTGAGAGAAAGAATTATATATTCTTCTTGAAGGCTGAAACTAATGATTAAAGTTTAAAGTATTCCTAACTAAGACTGGGCAACATTTTGTTTTCAAAATTAACAGGCCCTATAAGACTTTCTTTCATGAACTGATCAGCGGCTAACGGTGAAGGCAGAATTAACAGGAATATTGCATAGTTAAAACATCCATATGGTAATATGGAAATGGATTAACTGTTAACCATTATGTAAACTGAAAATTCAATTAGTATGTCGAAAAAATTACCTTCCTGGAACAGTAAAGGGGAATCCGTATTTTATACTGCAGCACCCAACCTTCAATGATTAGATTTCACCAGTATGAACATATACTTGATACTTGAAATTATAAAAAATTGCTAAGAAATAACTCTATTTAACAAAGTAAAAAATGGGTTGACAATATTATTCACAACTACATTACAGGGAAGTTAAGGGTATGTTACTTTACCAAGGGTTCCTACGACCAATTTTGCCTACAAAGCATCCAAAGAACAGGGAGGGATGCAATGTCTGCAAAATTGATTGAAAGAACCCAGGGCTACTTCACGTCAATCTATTCCTCACTAACCTTGGTTCAAGGGCTGTAAAGTTAACAAAAAAAGTCTTATAAGTGCCCAGCTCTTTTCCCAACTAGGCAGTAGGCATAGATCCTTAATTAAATTTAAAAATTACAGCAAAAACTTGCTCATAATGTCCTTGCAGTGTTGTAATTAAATTTCTTTCCCCAACCATAGTATTTAATTTCTTTCTTCTACTTCATCAGAAAAATAACACACAAATATATTCTATACTTAAAATTTAGATCTAGAGGTATACAATTCATTAAATATAAGCTGTAAACAGCAATTTGTGTGAAAGTTCAGTATTAGGTCTAAACTGTACCCACAACCCAGAACTGATGTACTGTATCAAAACATTTTTCACAGCTCTCTTAAATAAATGTTCAAGAATGTGCTAGAATTAATTCCGCCCCATGATTGGCTATATTTAAATAGTTCATTAAAAGTAGATACTTTTTACTGTAACAGTTTTTTTTAACTCATACATCTATCCTGTAGTAAAAAATTACCGTATGTAGTTTAAAATGAGTTGGCTATTATGTTACCAATAAATTTACTAAAACTAAAAAACTGCTCCCTAAATCTGTGCTCTGATTAAAAAAAAACTGAAACCCTATCTCCGGAGAAATCCTTCTTTTTTTGTCGGCAAAGTTAACATCATCATGATTGATTGCCGGATTATTAAAAGGATGGAGTTGAAAAAAAAGTTTTGAATTTCTTCTTGAATTTCCACTTTCAGGAGAATGCTCAAGCAGTGCAAAAAATAAAAAATTATCAATACTCTTTAAGAAAATATTTGAAGTGAATATAAGTGAAATATTTCATATCCATAACAAAATATTATTTTCTTATTTAAATTCTAAATTAATTAACTTTTTTAGCCTTTTGTCTGTTGTGGTGCTAAATATGGCTGGTGGTGTTTACCAGAACACAGTGTTTGGATTGGCGGCTAAACTACCTCCCAGATACACTGGAGCTGTGGTGCTAGGTTCGGTAAGTAAGCAAAATCAGGGTGCTTTTTTGGTCAGTAGACAGGGGCATAGGATCTGGGTTTAATAATTGTGTACTGTAGCAGTGGTGCTTGGTGTTATGAGCAGAGATGGGCATTTGAGCTGTGGGTTTAATTAGAATATAGAAGCAGTGGTGCTAGATTTGTTAAGTATACCAAAGCAGTCTTGGTAGAATCTGTAAGTTTACTGCAGCAATGGATTTAGGTAGGTTCGGGGTAAGTTTACTGGAGACCAGTATAACTAGGTTTGGTAATCGTACCAGTAAAGTGGTGCTCAGATAGATAAGTAAAGAGGTGCATTGGAGGTAGGTTTGTTAAGTATAAAGGAGAAGTGTAGGTAGGTTTGGTGAGTATGCTGTAGCAGTGGATAATGTTGGTAATTGTTAAGTTTTATATAAGATACATCCATGAAAATATCAAATAAAAGCTTCATAATTGAATAAAATGAATAGAACTGAAACAGATTTATATATAAGAGGTCTACAGGAAAACAGATAAATTGTTTTAGAGTTAGGGTTACCATGCAAATCAAACCAATTCTAAATATTAGTTATTTCCTAGTCCAACTTTACACAAGATCTTAAACTTTCAATAAGGATTAAATATTTTATTGGCATTTATTATACACTTTCTTCCACAGAAACTTATATTAGTTCCTGTTTCCTGAAACCAGCAATATAGTTAAAATATGATAGTAAAAAGACAATTAAAAATAAATCATTTTTTGTGTTTTTTCTAGTTAAGAAAATTACTAATTGTTCATGAGAATGAAGTAAACAACTGCTTAATCAGTCTCCTTGTTAATCTTGTTTTTCTTCTAGAATATCAGCGGCACAATCGTCGCCTTGATTAATGTCGTCTCCATCTGGATATCCCCCAGGCATACTTACAGTCAATATGTGCTCATCATGTGCTCATAATTTCTTGACACTGACAATTTTTAATGAGTCCTCAGCAGGAATTTTCAACTGCAATTCAACCTGGTGTTACGGATAATGGGTGAGCGTTTAACAAAATCAATCCAAATTGGTTTATTTTGCACTTAAAAGACAAGTTAAGTGGAGCTACTTATGTATTTTTCACCTTTGTTAGTTTCTCCCATTGACTTAATCCTTTATCCAAGTTGAGTAATGATGAAGTTGATATCCTCCTTGAAAGTAGCTTGATTCTGTCAGTATCATATCTTTTTCCTTGTTGTATAAATCTGTAAGTAATTTTACAACAATATGTCATATTCTTTGTTTATGCTTAGACAATGGTTTATAAGGTTCTATTGTGAATCTGAAACGTTGATAGATAAAGAAATTTTATAAATGTCTCCCATTTCCTCAAAATATAAAAATATTTTAGCTTAAAATAAAGCCGTTGAAATGTATTTTCTGATCTTTTTATCAAAAGTTAAATATTTCACAGCCATCTATAAATTTTTTACCATGATTTTATTGCTTCTTCTTTTAGTGATTAATATCACCATTAGCTATGGACAACATTTTGATTTTTATCTTTAGCAAGAATATTTCAGGTTTTCTTTTAATTCTTGACTGTAAACTTTAAATGATATATTGAATGAAAGAAGCTCTTCCTAAAAATGAATTACTTGTAATCAAATGAAAGCGAAGAAAAGATTGATAAGTTTATTATGTATATTGAATTATGAAGTGAAATTGGGTTATGTTCATCAACTAAAAGAAAGAGACTACCTTTCTGTAACCAAATTATCAGTAGAGAAGCATACATTCATCAGCACTAGATTCAGTGAGTGTTTATGAAAGAGTGTTTCTAGAACTCTATTGGCATCATTTTATTCCACTTATGTTGAGGAAAGAGAGAATTATAAACAAAACAATCCTCACTCAAAGTATAAAAGTCCAATAAATCATTCATTTAATTTTAAACTTATCTATTAAAATTGTTTAACACCCCCTTTGACATTTTTTCACGTAAATTTAGGTTGAAGAATCAATTTTAAGATTGAAAGGGACTGTTAAGGTAAATTAAAAGGAGGTGTATGCTGAAGCCTCAAATATAGGAACTGATCGTGACAAATATTAGTTACATAAAACATCACTGTCTTGTGAAATTGATATGAAACTCCGTCAAAGTTATTAAAAAAAACTCATATATACCTAAAATGGACGACAGAGCCATGATGTGATCCGATAATAAAAGTCTATTGGTGGAAATTTGGGTCATGTGATACAGACATAACAATTATATTATCAATTAAAATAAATTAAATATTTTGGCACCACTGGATTTATCCTAATTTTCAGATTTGTTCAGTATTTACTGGATATGATTTGATAAACCTTTTATTCATATACCATATCACATATATGTAAGTTTTGGTGTAACTTCAATACAGTTTTATATCAATTTCTTAAGACAAGGACATCAGATAGAACTGATATTGGTTGCGATCAACTCCCTAGAATTTTTTAACTCTAGCCTGTGCCCTCTTTCATTTTACCTTAACAGGCTCTTCAAAAGATTGACACATTTTATAATAATCATTTTTTTACTTTTTATAAAACTGTTAATTTTAAACATCGCATTTTGAGCACTGTTTAACTGTGAGTGTACAACTAGCGCTCGCACTGCCGCAATCTACTATTTCATTACTGGACTGTTCATGTTGCTAGCATGCTTTGATACATACTTTGCACTCCCGCTCAATGTAAGTAGAAACTTGTAATAAATTCAGAGGACTGTTGTGTTAAATAGCCCTCAATGGGACCATGATGCTTGATCTTGGTCTTCTGTTAATCTCCAGATTAATGTTAAATTTTTATTTGGTATCCCACTTGCCAAAGGGAGCTTTGATCAGGGGACGAATAGCTGCAAGGAAAATGAGTAAAAGAATAGTATTATAGATCTTAAAATCAAAAATGCCCAGAGTGGATATCGATATGAAGCAATTGGGATTATCAGTATCCAAGACAAGACAAGCTCAATTTGAATAAATTTAATCCTTCTGATGACATAAGATAAGGATACTTGCTTCATACTCCGATCCTTCACACAAAAGTGTTGACCTTTGAACTTTGAACTGCAGGGTCTGTAGAAATATCTTTTTTAATCATTTAAAAATCTGACAGTTTACAGTTATATCAATCAGGCTGAAGATAAAAGCCCGAATTTATCAACAACTGCTTTTGATATGTTAAAGCTTCTGACAGAAGCATTTCTCTTTATAATTCAATAAAAAAGCTGATAAAAAAATTTCAATTTCTATCAAACTTAATGAATTTTTAAGACATGGGGAAAAAGGATGCACAATTGTAGTCGTGGACGCTTTTAGGGTTAGTTGAAGATATTTTAGGGTTAGTTTAAGATATTTTAGGGTTAGTTTCAGATATTTTACAAATCTGGTTTTTTTGTTTTTAGAGGTTTTACAGATATAACGAACTTCTTTTTCAAAAATGTGTTGAAAATAAGGAGAAGCCTGTGATCTACGCCATCTCATACTGGACAGTGTTTAAAAAATGCTTTCCACAATTACTTAACATTTTTCTCACATTTGCAATCACTCTCTCCCTCTTCCCAGCAGTGCTGTCAGGTAAATTGAAAAAAAATGTATTCTAAAAAATGAATTTAAATTTTTTTCTGGAAAGTCTCTAGTTTGCTGTTCTTTATAGGGAGTGTTCGCAAAAAAAATGGCTGAAACAGATACAGCATATACCCACTTTCATTTTTCAGAAACACTCTCTTTAAAGCAAAAGGAATGGAGATTTTTCCCCAAACTCAATTGTTTTAATTACTATATCTTTATAACCTGATGTTGTTAACCTTTGAATATTTGATCTAATAGAATTCATAGTTTTAAATATCTAAAAATCAGATTTATGGCAAAGACTTAATTCCTTTGTAATATATTGGTTTGATGCTGACAATCCTAGACAATCCTGGAATAGGAAGACGACTTTTAGACTCAATTTATGAATTTAAATAGTCCAATATGAATGAGATACGGCAATGGTGCAGTGTAAATAGACCCATTTCCCGTAATTTGTGATTTAATAAGAAGCTAGTAATACTATTTGCTTTGTAACAACATCAAATACGCTTATGTATTGCTATAAAGTCGTCTTCCTATTTCAGAGTTGTCTGTTAATCACTGTATACAGTGATGTGTCACTAAGTATGGCATGTGTTGCCATTTAATTAAACTTAAAAGTGGAGAGGGGGTAATATTTTTTTCAACCCATTTTTTTTTGTTTAATAGACTTATTTCAAAGCAATTTAAAAGTTTCAAAATTAAGCTAAACAAAAATTTTTACTTATAAGATAAGTTTTGTTATGATATGGGTTCTCATGAAGTCAAAATAATACAAATACCATAAAAAAACAAGATTTTTTTTTTCAGACATAGAGCGTGTCTACTCTGGGTTCTTTATACCCCGAGAATATTTTGTTTCTGTCACATGTTTCCTCACCTTCAATGTATTTGCTGTGATTGGAAATATTTTACCATCATGTATTCCAGGGGTAAGATATATTCTATCAACAGATAATAACTATGTTAATAACAGGTTCACCCACAAAGGATGAGACTTCAGAGACAATTTACGCACCTCTGCCCCTTTAGTAAAAGTAAATTCAACTTATATGCATAAAGCATAAAGTCTGACCGCGTCAACCTTGTTGCACAGGCTAGTTCTGTCCATAGAGCTAGGTACAGTACAAACTGGGATCGGAAAGTTTGACTCGGCTCGGAAATTCAAATGTACTACAGCTGCCCATGAACTGCATGAAATTTATACTTCTGTCTGACTATGTTCAAGATTGCCTGCAGCATAACTTCTTCTTTATTTCAATTTGGTAAATCGTAAAATAATTCCTTAAAAGATTATTTGTAAGACAGAGGACTCAATTTAACCTTGAGATAATTATATTTTTTGAGTTTCAGGTCGTCTTTACAGTCTCGTTGTTTGTGGGTAACCCTGATGTTGGGTGTTTAAAAGGGACTGTAAGTGTAATTACAAAAGAAGCTGATCTGATCTGATCTGATCAAGTATTAATGAGATATCCATGTTTTGTTTATTTAACCTGTTGACCTTTATGTGTGGTCGCTCTGCAAAAGTGACTGCGCATTTCGTCCTTGTAAGAAACAATGGAAAAATTGCAAGAATAAAATACTTTTCAAGTCAGAATATCAAAGTTGTCTTACACTTATCAAATTTAGGTTTCAAACCTTCAGGGTATATTTGTAAATTGGGCATTGCCATTTTTCATAATGGTTACTTTAAATAACTCTTAAAACGGCTCCACTATGAAAAATGATGCTCCCCTAAAACGACCCCACTGAGAAAATGATGCTCCCCTAAAACGACCCCACTAAGAAAATGATGCTCCCTTAAAACGACCCCACTAAGAAAAATGATGCTCCCTTAAAACGACCCCACTAAGAAAAATGATGCTCCCTTAAAACGACCCCACTAAGAAAAATTATGCTCCCTTAAAACGACCCCACTGAGAAAAATGATGCTCCCTTAAAACGACCCCACTGAGAAAATGATGCTCCCTTAAAACGACCCCACTGAGAAAATGATGCTCCCTTAAAACGACCCCACTATGAAAAATGATGCTCCCTTAAAACGACCCCACTATGAAAAATGATGCTCCCTTAAAACGACCCCACTAAGAAAATGATGCTCCTTTAAAACGACCCCACTGAAAAAAAATGATGCTCCCTTAAAACGGCTCCACTAAAAAAAAATAATGTAACGCAAGCAGAATTGATATTGCATTTTAATTAGTAAAAAGTTTGCTAGGCTACTCTTCAGATTAAATAAATGGCAACTCTTCTTGATCCATTCAATATTTTTATGAGTGACATCTTTAAAACAGTTTCAGCAATAATGAAAAATGGAAAAGTTCTACTCTTCTTTCCTACGAGAATGTTTTAGTAATTGTTTTAAAGCTAAGTTTGTTTGTTGTTTTCATTTGCTAAATTTGAGTGTGTATTTAATGCCGAAATTTGCATGCATTGCTTGCATTGTATATTTCTGTTATCTTCAACACAAGAATACAAATGTCTTAATTACCAGAAACGATAAACTTCATTGAAAATAGAATTTATTTACCTTTATAATACAATTTTCTGGAAAATGTTATAAACCTTTTCCATCCTCGTATACTATAAGAACTCCCGGTTTCTTATCAATTAAGAGGGACAATTAATTTTGTTTGGAGACATTTCTCTGAAAGTGGAACAGGGGAGTTTCAGCAAGTTCTCATTGTTTTATCATTAATCAGTAATAGCAAAAATTGTTGCAAATGGTATTTAGACTAAGTGCATGCGGTGTCTACAGTCACCAAAAGAAAAGAGGATTTTAGAAGGGTTCAGAACTAAAGAAAAATAAGTTACAATTAACATAATTAAATCATTAAAATTGATTTGTTGAATGTTTAAACCTGTGAAATCACAGCAGTTTTTCATTTGATTCTTTGCAAATGTAGCAGTATATGAAGGTGCTTTGGTATACATAAAATCTATCTTTATTTAACCTGCACCCTATTTCTGCTGGGGGGGGGAGTCAATTTGACCCCCCCCCACATGTAGATTTTTTTTTACATAACTCAAAAAGTATTGGTCTGAGGCTGTTGAAATTTTCTGACTTTTTCTAAATAACCACAGCCCTTCTTTTAGGTCTAAAATCGGGCTTTTATACTAACTGCCTGAGTCCTTAGGCCCATTGCCAGAACGACTACTTTTTCTTGTTATAAACTAAATCTTTGTTTTGAGTTTAGACCCACTTTCAGTTGTCAGATTTTGATAATTTTTAGCTTTGTGGAAAGCCTATGACATAAGGAAACAGATTGCACAAGTTTTGCAAAGAATTACAAATTATTTGCAGACAACCCCAACAAAAGAAATTTGCACAATTTTAGTTTTTCTCAATTACACATCAGGTTATTTGAAATTTTTATTTTTTTTTGCATATTTGAAATGGCTTTGTGAATGGCTTTTCAAAAATGTATATCTTATCATTTTTTAACATTTTTCCTGTTGCAAAAAATTTAATTTTTGCAAATTTGCACAAAAAATGCAAATTCTAAAGTGGAGCATAAGAGCTTTCCAATGATCTATCATTTGTCATATTTTGACATCAAACATGGGATTTAGAGGGGGGAGGGGGGTAAATTGACCCCTCCCCCAGGCAGCATATCCTGGTTTACAAGTACTCCAGCAGGGATAGGGTTAATTTAACATAATTTGTTTTAACTTTCAAGCAAAACTTAAAACTTGCTTATTCTTTGATTTTGAACTGGTTTCAAAATGCTGCACGGGATCATCCTGTTGTTTTCTGATATATCTTGAACATACTGCCAAAATCAATATAACAATTACTGTTTTACAATCCTATGGACAAGGTCCAATATCACAAATTAGGATTTCTTGCGTCCGCTAATGGTTCAGATAATACAACTAATTGATACAATGAAAGCATTATACATGATACACCAGGGGAATCACAATAAGCAAAAGATTTAGAGTGCAACAATTAGACATTTCAGACATTATATGTTTTTGAAAACCATTTTATTCACAATTCAAAATCTTTAACAAATATTTCTTATCTGCCTTATAACTGGTTTCAATTTTAGATTTCTAAATTCATGATACAAAATGTCTGTTATAGAAAATATGAGGGATATATTGTTGATGTCATACTGTTGGAAAAGTTTTCTATTTGGAGATAATAAGAATCTATTTAAGGGGAGATTTAGGAGGATTATAACTATCTGTAGATATATCTTTTTCCAGCCCTCGAGTAGAATGCTGCTGGTCTGGGTTCTTCTTAGAATTCTTTACATACCTTTCTTCCTACTCTGCAACTACAGGCATCTTTCAATTTACAATACTTAATATTATGTTTATTGTAAGAAGAAAATAGTCTTGGATAAAATCATCCATCATTGGAGTACCATCCAAGACCCCTTTCATGGGTCTCCAATAAAATTAATGGAACCGTTCTTTGACTAAGAACACCAAGAATGGAACAGAACAGGATGACCCTTCTTTGACTAAGAAGGGAACAGAACAGGATGATCGTTCTGTGATTAAGAACTGAATGGAACAGGTGATGGAACAGAATGATTAAAAAAAGACTGAATTTGCCCAGCCCTACTTGTGACGTTCTTTCATGAAGGGGAATCTTGTATTAGTACTCTAATGATTATTATTTCTTCACATACTCAAAAAAAAAATGTTCTTCATATTTTGATGGAAAGATTTGACAGGCCTGGTGGAGTGGAAAGACTTTGGCCTGTTTTGTTCTATTGGGATTGGATATATTGGTTCGGGAATATGACATTCTCTATCTCTGGTGGGTTTATGGCAACCCTTTCTCTCATGCATAATACAAAGTAAGTTTTTACAGTTCTGTTTAATTGTGATTTCCAATATTTAATTCATTAGATCAATAGTAGAAATGTCTTACAAAATGTTTTCTGAGTCTATTGAGACTAAAAGAACTACCAAAAATTGTTTAGATTAAGTTGTTTTATGTTTCAACCAAATCTGTGTGCAAAAATAAGATTAATCAAAAAAAGTCTAAGAAAATGTTTGGTTAGAAATTTACATAGCCAAATTGGTACAGGACAATATTTGGATACTCCAGATTTGGAGCTATTGAAATTATAGGGTATAGTAATACCACACACAATTTTTTAAGCTCATAACTAAAATTTGTATTACATGGGTTTCTCAAAACTATGCAAAAATTTTGGATAGTTCATAAAAATTGATTTAAATGATAAACTTAAAAATTTATTAGAGAACTATTTTCTATTTGTACATTTATGAATCCAGTACTTTTTTACAAGTCAATTTTTAAGGTACCTTACCACCTTATCATTTAACAACTTGGTATTTCTTGCCAACAATATGTGCTTACCTTGAAGTTAATCTAATCCATACTTGTTTGCTTTGATAAATGTAGAGCAGAATTTGATAAATGTAGAGCAGAATTTGATAAATGTAGAGCAGAATTTGGTTTTCTCAAAAGATTAAGTGTACCTTGGGGAAATCTTACTGCAGAATATATCTGGTTTTATCTGTCTACCGTTTAATGGAGGAGGAGGAAATTCATATTGTTTATTCAATTTTATTCAGACAAATTTACATAAATAGATTATAAAGGGAAGAAAATATTTATTTGATTTTTACCTGAACAAAGCTTTGTCCCTCAAAGATATTGTTAAATAAAGGGTTAACTTTCATCTTGAATTACTAATCTATAATTTGATTTAGGCGGTTTAGCTAATTAGTTTAATTATTTAGTGTTCACATTTTTTTTTTAACAATTTTACTTTGGAACATGGGAATCTTTTGTGAGTTACAAACCTTACCTGATACACTTTATATAAAAACTTTTCAGAATCTATTTTTTTGGAATGAATTCATTTGAAATAGAATTCACTGGAGTCTGGACATACTTCTTTTTATAGCAAAATTAATTAGGGTTTATCAAATTAAGAAGTTTTAAGAAAATATTTTGACATAAAATCCAAAAAATTAAAGGCATATTTTATCTAATGGATTTAACAGTTGTTACTTCAAAAAACTTTTTAGTAAGACAAGAACTTTTACAGAAGTGTAGAGCAAGAGTACGCTGGAGTTGCAGGAATGTTTGGGTCTGCTGCAATGGGTAGCGGCATTCTTGCTGGGATTGGGTTCTCAGCGCTCATGCCGCAAATTGTTAGTTCTCCTGCCCTTGATTGGGAGGAGCCATGGTTCTGGCCAGCATATGACCCAACAAGTTAGAAACTATAAATTGGACCATCTTGTTAATACATAGTTCATATCAACAAGTGATAATGTGAAGTACATTCCTTAGTATGGATAATTTTTACAAAGTACTTTCTAGTGCCAAGTGCAAACAAGTCTTCCAAAATATTTATGATAATTGTTATGTGTATAGTATACTATGTTACTTAAAACTTGTCAGAACAGAAAGCTTTATCTTTACATTATTTATTCAAAGCTTTCAGGTGCAATTGGGGCACACCCTGGGCCGCAAAAGAACACTTTCTATAGATTCTAATTTGAACTACGGTTACTAGGGAAAATGGTAAAAGACTGAATTTTAAAGCCTTGGAATGCTTAATAATTAATAATAGTAAAATACGTTCAACAATTCAAAGCACATCCCACGTGCCTGTAAAAAAATAATTTTGTGTCACTTTTTCCCATTATTAAAAAAATAATGCTGATAAGTTTCATCAAATTTCAACCATGTTTACTGCACCAAAAGTCAAATTTTCTACAAAAGTTGACATCACATATCAGTGACTAGCTCTTAAATTTCTAGTAAGCCATTTTATTTTAGTATATACCGCTGTATGCATGATTTATTTAAATTAAGTTAAATCCTACATTGTAGTCCAAAGGTCAACACTTTTAGTTTGTGAGTTAAGTGATCAAGCAGTAATATGAATATTGTGCATTATGGATCAAGCATTGTAGGTAAGGGCTCTTTCCCACAAAAAAAAGTTTGGACTGTCTTAATTTACACTGTAAAATCCAAGATTGTATATTTTATTTAAAATCGCGTAAGTGGGAGATCAATTCAGTATTATTTAATAGAATATAGCAAATATTGAATTGAGTTGTTTTTTGTTTTGTTTATCCAAGCAAATAGAAATATTCCCAATTATTTATCATTTTAATCAAAAATTCTTAATGCAAGGGTAAATTCAACTTGAAATTGACTTTTATTCTGAGCTTGCAGTTTAAAAATTCGGAAAAATACGGCTCTGGTCTAAGCTGTTGTTGGGCCTTAATTAAGGCTTGAGGTTTTGGATTCGAGCTGCATCTTATTTTCCACAGAATTGAGTTAAAAAAAAACGGTTTAATATTTTATTGGCGGATTTTCATGGTAGGAATTGGCGCATTCCGAGTTTATATGAGAACAACTCTCAATATTTAGCCTTATTCTCCAGTAAAATCAACCAAGGTTGGTTTTATTTTCATTGGACCTAACTCCTTAAGTCGAGCCAAAGATCTTGCAACTGTCAATCACCTGACACAAGCTGTTGTCAGAGTTCGGTTGAAGATTGGGTCTTAAAGTCAGGTCTGAGGAATTACGGCTTAAGCCGAAGTTTTTAAATCGCAGGCTCTGCTTTATTCAATAGATTATTCAATCATTAGGAATGACAAAGCGCCACTTCTGGATCCGCCACCACAACAACACTTTTTTGCCACCTGGCGGCCGTCAATGGCAACTAATTATTCTTCAATTTTTAATAAATTTGTGTGCTAACCAAATTTTTTTCCAAAATAACGCTGTGATCGCGCTATTCAAGAAAACATTAACAGTTCAAATTTTTAGAAATGTGCACTGAATAATGTACTATAATTATTAATGTTTTCAAAAGTTTTGATTAGCAAACATATTTTATATTTGATTCATTAAAAAAATGTACAGTACACTTACTCATCAAAGCACCTGATAGATGAAAGTGTATGCATTCTTACCAGTCACAAATTGAAATGGAATACATTTACTCTCATCGTTATCATGCTATGATGAGTAAGTATATTTAAAACCCTGTGGTTAATTAATAACATTAATTAATAATTCATTCATATTTTAAAAATGAGGTATTTAAATTCAAAAGTGCAAAAATTTAAAAATGACAGAAATAATTGCTCCAAATTTCTAGAAAAAATTTGCTTTATCATAGATTCCTTTTAAGAAACCAGAAAAATGATGATTTTTCAAACTGTTATTTCCAGATTATGCAGTTATGATCATATTATTTCAAAAAGTGTTGATTTTCATAGTATTATAAAGATTACTTTGTATTCTTATTTTTGAGAGAAATTTGTATATTTGATTTTAATTGCAAGTGTGATTATAATTTTAATTTCTAACAAGTCTGTTAGACAGTTTTAGAGAAAAGTGTAAAATAAATGTAAACTTTTGTGAACCTCTCTTTGCAGTTTACAGTTAGATGTATGATGAAGATAGTGAAAGTTAAACTTGTTAGATATTCTACATTTTGAGATGTTTTTATTCTATTTATCCGGATGTTGAAGTGTAAAATAAAAGCAAAATGTTTGTAATATTTTCAGTTTTATTTAGGTTATAAACTTACTTTTTAGGAGGATCAGTCTTTCCTGTTGTCTTTCTTATTCTTTTATTCATGCTTATTTTTCTTCTGCATCTGTAACAAGATTTTATTTAGTTTTTATTCTCCTTATTCATTAATCTGTCCAATTATATTTTTTCTGTTTTTCATTTTCTTTTATTTCCCTTTCTCATAAGTTTAATTTACATTTTTTTAAATTTCATTTAAACTTTCTTAATTTTAGTTTTTCTTTTTGGTTAATTTTGTAATTAACTTTTTATTTTTTCTTCATTTTTCTTAAAAGCTCCCTTTAACTTTAAGGAACTGTAAACATAATTCAAGTGACCCAACATTTTTAAAGTGGCATATTCATTCACAATGATACTCTGGCATGATGACACAGTTCTCCTTATTTTACACATAGTACCGAATTGTAAATTACATTATAACTAAAAAATAGAGTTTCCGCGAAATGACCATATTTGTTGCGCGAAATAACGCAAAGCGTAAGAGCGCAATTTTGCGCAAAATGAAGTATGCAAATGATTGCAAAAAGTGCAAAGATGTTGCACAAAAAAGCAAACATTTGAGCTTTCTTTCATAAAAATGGCCTATTGTTAACTTAGTTTCGTTTTGGTCTAAAATTTACTTTTTGATTTAAAATGCTGGCGCCAACAAAAAAGTAAAGAGAAAAAGGAAACATTTTTGCTCCTAGGCCAAATTGTGATCAAAAGTCCCAGCTTGCTGGAAACAGAACTAAACTGTTCATAAAATCATTATTAACTTCCTCTTTTAAATTATATCTTTGATAAATCCTTTAATTTTCATATAAAAATAATCTTACCATCCCAAAATAGTAAAAGGTTTTTCATTTTCGTACAGTTCAAAAATTTGAATTTTGGACATAAAGAGTTTATTACCATTTGGAAAAGTGATTCAAATTTGTGAAATGTCTCTAAACCACAAAAGATGTTTTGTGCTCAAAGTGTTAATTTGCTTAAAAGATGCGTTATATTTCAAAATGAAATCATTAATTATCAAAAATATATCCATTTCCATGTCAACATTTTTGGTTTATTAAAAATGTAGCGTTGGCTATTTTCTTTAAATATATACAGAGGTTTTTTTCTACTCGACTTATTTAAAAGATATGCTACAGTGAAACCCTTAATAACGAATACATCAGAAGAATTTATCAAATGTGATCTTGACAATTTTTCAATGAGTTTTATACTATATTACGTAAATTTCAGTATTTGCAAAAATAAATAAATAACCATCAATATGCTGGAACAGTTTTAAAGAGTTCCATATAATTATTTCATTAAAAAACTAAATATCTGCAAGATTCCATTATCAGAAAGTAAAGAATACGACATTAGATGAATTCTTTCTATGTTTTTGTTATTAAGCGTTTCACTGAACATAGTTAAAAAAATTTTTTGTTGTTTTGGCCCAAAAACTGACACTTAGTGTCAAGTTTGGGCCTAAATCACGGTTTGGAACTTTCTTCTTCAGTATTTGAAAGTCAGCTGCACAAAACAAATATGGAGATGAGAGGAAGGGGGTGCAGGGCAAAGTTCTATTAACGAAACAGGGGTTTTTTAAAAATGTTAATTTTTAATTGCTTACAATTTGATTAGCTGTTTTTGAAAAGAATTAAAGGTTGCAAACAAAAACCAAACGGTTTTTTTAAAACAATTAATATATTGAATTTCTTTTTTATTCTGCATAAAATTGCATATGAAACTTGTAAAATGAAATTTTTTAAAACATATTTTGATGTTTTTAATGTTGTCTTCTGTAATTACAACCGTTATCGATTTCATTAACCATTAAAGAAATTGTTCACGACGTTAGTACTGTAACATAAACATTTAATGTTGTGCCTCCTGATAAGCAAAATGACATATAAGTCCTGCGATCGAGAAAAAATCTCCATGACTCTCACAACGACTCTAAGCCTTCTTCATTCTGTCTCCATGCCCCTTATTTTGGTTTTCAATAAAATTACTTTTAACCCTTTTATCAAACAATCTCCGCATAACAAAATATTCATAAACAATTTGTATTGAGTTATCTATTTTATTTCAGCTTATGTCTTAAGGTTTTGTTACCTAAATTTCACAAATTCCTTAACTTGTAAACTATTGCGTTTTATATAACGATAAAGAACTTTTTATATAATATGCATTATGCAATTGTGCACTACACAGTTCAAAAAATATGACTGAAAAGTATAAAAACTCTAAAAAGTGTACTCAAGCATATTAACTGCAACATACAAGGTTTCAGTACTAGATGAAATGCATACTGCACAAATGGAATAAATCACCTTCAAGTTAAACAAAGGATTACTATAGTATCTGTATTGTAAACACACCAAGGGTTTATTTCCCTATGTACATAATCTCATTAAAGTTCATTACTCCCCGCTGGAGAAATAATGCACATACCAAATGCAATCTAAAAATAAAGCCAAACAAGTCCAGAGTCAATCCAAGGGTAGAACAGTGTAGAACAGAAGAACAGATAAGGCCAAGCTTAGCAACGGGGTGCAGTGAACTCGGAGTATTTGAGAATAGGTCTGTATTAATTATCAAATAACCACGACGAAAAATGAATGTAAGATTTTACATTAAACTAATTTGATGTTTAGGAACATATTTTTCAATGGAAGTTTGTCAATAAATCAATGTTAGAATCAATTATATCTTTTTCATCATTGCGTTGAATTTCTTCTTCTCAATGAATTTGTTCCCAGAATCTACAGAAAATGTTTGTGAAGAATGAGAGATTATACAGGAACTAATAACTGAATAAGATTACTTATTTTCGATGATAAAAGTTAATTTTTATTTTCACAATCTGTTCCTAAACAACTAATAAGTTTACTGGAGAATTTGTGTTACATTTTTTGTCGTTGTTATTCAATAATTAAAAAAAAACCTATTCTCAAAACATACCCACTCAAAATTGATGATTTTTAACGTCGACTATGCGCTCAAACTCAGTGATTATACATCCTGGAAAAGTTTAATATGCCTCAAATGATTTCTGAATTTTTTTTCTTCACAATACTACATTTTCAGTTCAACTACCATGCACTGCCGGTCACTCTCTTTAATGTACTTAACTGGACCTAAAATAAATAACTTTCATTTCCCAAATGAATTACAATAGCGTGTTATGAAGAGTAACGTCCAGCTATCATTTAACAATAACCCATATGTAAAAATACATTTTTTAGTTATATAATATTGCCTTGAAAATTATTCATTGATTACTGTGCTTGAACATTGTATTGACAGCTGTCTTCTGTTAGCAATTTTAAAGGAATATGTGTAGTTCACTAGAATATTTCTGTATAAGTTTATTCAGAAAAATATGGTCTAATTTTTTAATTGTTTAAATCCTGAGATACAGATTAATACTGTTGAGTCGGCTCTCAATAGTTTGAAATTGTATTCATGATTCCTTAAACACACATTCAATTCAATTCAATTCATCATCAATAGCCTTGGAAAAACTATTGTACAATTCTTTAATTTTATTTGTAGTTTGAGGAAGAGGGTACAATGATAGTATGAGCCCCACAAAATGACCTTTGGTGCCTCCTAATACGTAGAGCCAAAAATCAAAACAAATCTCTTTACAGTCAAATTAGGGTTTCTAGCGAACAAAAAATTTCGCGAAAAAGTGCGAAAAGTTTCGAACGTATTTCGCAAACATTTTTGCGAAAATTCGCATTCTTTCGCGAAAATGAACTACACGAAAAAATGCGAAATTTCTTGAAAAAGAATTCCGGGAAAACCATAAGTGTTGGAGCTGAGGACATGTAATGTTAAAAAAAAAACTGTGGAATTATCTGCTCTGATAGCTCAGCATGAGAAGTTTCAGTATCATAATTAATAATTTCTCTTCCTTTACTTTCATAAATTCTTGATGAAATTTTCGTATTTTTTCACAAGGTTTTCGCATTTCTATTTTTGCGAAAACTTTGCATTTTTTGCTAAACAGATTAAAGCGAAAACAATTTTTCGCCGAATTTTTGCATTATTCGTGAGAGACCGAAATGTGAAAAAATGCTAAATTTTCGGCGAAAAATTTTTTCTCTCGAAAATGATAAGTTTTGTGAAACAATTTCCCCTTTCCGCTGGATTCCCTAGGTGAAATCCACAATAAAGCTTAAA